TTAAATGGGGTCAGTTTAAAGGGCTCGAAAAAGATGGTGCTTGATCGTAAATCGATGCTTTAAACGGTTATATCTCGCCAAATATTCATTGTACAACAAATCTAAATGAAGGATAATTTTAGTCATTAAAAAAGCTACAATTTGGTAATTTGTATTTTTTTCATATATTCAGTATTTTCGGGCATATTTAAAAAAAGAAGGGTAAAAAATATGAAATTGTAAATCGTTTCTCGCTTTAAGCTGTACTTTTTCTAACACAAAGCATTTTAAATGGGTCAAACTTCTTGGACGTATTAACAATACCATGTACAAAGGGAATTTCAGAAGAGTAAAGATCGATTTTAATTATGGAGGAGGTTAGGGTGTTGTTTCGATTTTTTCGTAAAAAATGAGGTATTGACCTTATTTTCATCATAACTCACTCAATTTTTAAGCTAGAGTCTTTTTTATGATAGGTCTATTTATGCTCTTTAAAAAAGGTTTTGTGAGTTTTCTTCCAAAAATGCATCATTTTCCCGATATTTGATTTTGAATCTTTCAAATTTGGCATTTGAAGAAAACCGCTGAAAGCTACAAATTTGTTCTCTACAATTTTTTTGATAAAATGCACCATTTTCGAATTATTCGCGAAAAATCGATTAAAAACGTGGATTTTTTCGTCTAAAAGTTATTACTTTCAATCGCGGATAACTTGAAAAATATCATTTTATAAAAAAAATGTATAGCACATTTTTTGTTTAGACTCACTTTTTTAATCGAAACCTGTAGTTAAAACGTAAAAAAAATTTTCACCCCGGAGATGGGGTGGCAACCACCCTTTAGGCTTTGGCGCACTTTGGTTCGATATAGATTTTGATCCTTAGGCTATTACCTACCTTCTGTTAAATTTCAAATCAATCCAGGGAGCACGAAAAAATTGCGAGGTGAAATGCTTCATTTCCTGGACTATAACTGGTTTGACAGCATAAATCGTAGATTTATGTGTAGCTTTAAATTATTATGAGTTCATAATCCATCAGCCTGCTGAAGTATTGGATTTTTATAATATAATTATTTGACAATATTTTGTTGGCCAACCACCTACAGCAGAATTGACCCGAAATACATTATATTCCTATGTTCCGAATTTATTTCGTTCAATCTGTATATATATATATATATATATATATATATATATATATATATATATATATATATATATATATATTGAATATTGGAGTCGCATTTATCCGTAATATGAATTCACCGGACTACGTATTGCGACACTCCCTCACATTCGCCTTTTTATTTATTTGCCTAAGTATTATTCTAATTTATAAGTAAATTAAAGGGAGTAAGTTATGGGATATTAAACATATGATACGTTTTAAGATGTATCTGCAACATGTTAAAATTTAGACTTAATTATGCGTATGTCGCCCTCCCTTTTTATCATAAATAGGTACTACTGTGTATTTAAGTCAATTTAGAATACACTTTTTCAATATTATTACAATTTTAATCTAAAAAGCATATTACTTAATCGATAGAGAAACAATAAATAAAACTCTCTTCCCATTTGGCTTAGATAGAGAAATTATAAACTTAATGGATGCCACTTTAAAAATACTGCATCAAAGGTAAAATTCAGAGGTAAAGTATCAGATCCATTTGAAATCTGTACAGGAGTTAGACAGGGTGACCTGATTTCTCCTCTATTGTTTTAATGAGTCTAAGAAAAGATTATTACAGAGTGGAAAACACCCTTACCTTCAAATTATACAATACAAATTGGACACAAAAAAGGGTCTGAAGGTAAACTGACTAGCTTTTACCGATGACCCGTCTTCAGTCAATTGCCCAAAAAACTGGTATGAGACCAGCATTCTATAAAACTAAGTTTATTACAAGCGTCAAGAATGCACAAAATTAGAAGGTGCATTTCATTTGTGAAAAGACTATACAAAAGCAGTAGCTTATCTTTAAACTTAAAACTCTGTCATTATAATACAGTGATCAGGCCGTCGCGTCACCCTATTAGCATTCGAATGATTAAATGTGCTAAAGAAAGGGTCATTACGAAAGCTTAAAATAAAACAGGAAAATTTTAAGAAAAATCTTAGGAGCAATAAAAGAAAATGTAGAGTTTCACTTTTCAATTTCAAGATCATGTTATTTAAAATGGGCAATCCAGGTTAAAAATGATTTGCAACAAACGGAAATTCCAACTGGTGACCTTCAAGATCGTCAAGGTCTTAGAAATAAGGTGAAATTTACTGAGAACCTTATTTCTCTCACTATCCTAGCTCCTTCCCCCGTAACCAAATGGTCACAAGAAAGGAAAGAAACATTCGACTAAAATGAAAACCTACTGACAGACGAGGAAAACTTAGTCATGAGAAAGATAAAAAAATCTTAAAAATTTACAGATAATGACTGTAGCTAGTAATCTTGTCTATCAATCGCTACCATAAAAATGAAATTTTATGATAAAAAGTCAAACAAAACATTAGTATTTTGTTTCCTCTCGGTTTATTTACTATAGTCCATTTCCATCATATTGATAGCACATTATGTAAGCCAATCCCTAAACTGTTGATACGGGTGACTCAATGAAAAATAGATATTTGTCAACAAGTTTACAGAAGTATATAGGAAAACAATTTTAAATTGAGTATGACCACCAGGTATAAAGGTTGAAGCAGAATAGAATACAATAGTTTTGAGGGTTACTAATCCCTAAATAAAGTTGCCAGTGTCGGAGTGATGGAGATTAACAGGTACTAATGAATTTGCAAGAAATGTAAGATGTTTATTTTATTGGTTATATATAAAATAATTTGTGGCCGTAAAAAGGGCCGATTTGTAAAAAAATGAATATTATTTTAATCAAATTCCATTTCAGATTCACTGCTTTTGTCAGAATCTAAGGAATCTTCAACTCCAATGTTAATTATTACCAGTTCCAGCATTGCATCAGTCATATTATCCAAATTCCACAATTTATTTTCTTTCTTGTGAGCATGACTAACAGGATTTTTCCAATTTTCTGGAGTTACTTTTGATAAGGAATGTTCTAATAATTGTTGTAAGTCTTCTAATTTAAAAGTTTTGTTGTTGCGTCCGACTTCACCCTTTACTTGAGACCATATATTTTCTATCGGATTCAGATAACAGTGGTATGGGGGTAAACATAAAATAATTACATCACGGTTTAATGCTATTTCATCAATTAATTATTTTTCATAAGCTGCTTTATGTTGCCTTGCAATAGGTAATAATTCCTTTTTTGTCGAATTCTCCTTGTACTCAATTAAGTGTTTATCCAACCATTCGATTATATCTCCTATTTTCCATGCCGTTGTTGGCAATTTTTCTGCTAGTCTTGAATGGTAACTAGCATTATCCATGACTATGATAGAATTTTTTGGAATTAAATCCAACATTTGCTCAAAATATTCTTCAAAAACGTAAGCAGTCATTTCCTCTTGGTAATCTTTGGTTGATTTTGAGGCAAAACTTAATAATCCACCATTGACAAAACCGTATTCGTTTCCAATATGGGTTATTATGAGTCTGCGTCCTTTTCCAACGGGAATATTGTTTATTCCAGTAGATACACATTCGATGAATGCCTGACGGGAACTTTTCACATTTGTATCAACCCATAGATATGGCACAGTATGACCTTCATTTAGCCAAGTCTCGTCCAAATAAAAAATTGTTTTCCCTTCTTCTCGGTACTTTTTAATAGTTCTTAGATAATCTCGTCTCCAACATACAATGTAATCTTTTTCAATTAAAACGGATTTTCTTCTATTTTTTCGCCAACGAAATCTCATCTCTCTGAATAGTCCCCATAATTTCTTGTTGCTTATGATTGGTAACTCTTCGTTTTCTCTAATTAATGTTTGGATTTTGTCCAATGTTGGAAATTCTTCGTTAAAAAAAAAATGAGTGGACACTGCGTCTTAACATGTTTTTATGTATTTCTTCAATTTCCAAGGGTTTACTCCCTCCACTCTTCTTGGGAGATGAAACAGTTCCTCCTTTTCTTTCTTTTAGGAATCTATAAATTGTTGCTTCACCAACCCCTGTCATATTTGAACACATGTTAACGATTTCACGAGCATTACTTAAAGGGCGTTGATGTACAAATGCATCCTGTACATTTAACATTATATTTTTCTCTCTTAGACTGAGGGCCCTTTAAAACTACGCTTAACCGGGATAAAATCTGTTGTCAACGTCATTTTTAAATGCAAATAAAAAAGTATCGACACCAAAAACGTAGGTAAGACATGAACAATGTACATCTACAAACTAAATGGAAGATGCAAACAATTTCTAATTTATATTATTGGCATAAGCTGTAATGTGGCATAAAAACTACTTAAACTATCATTAGTGAAGCCTTATCAGTAATTCCAGGTAATCGTTCAAAGAACGATTCTTTTTGTGTCAGGCGATAACTTGTATAGAACACAATAATCATCTTTAAATTACTGTTTACAATAATTTATTTCGTGAAACATTGAATTCTCTCGTTAATCACCCGTGTATAATTAACAATAATAGTGTGGCATATATACCGACGTTTTTTACGCACAAAAAGGTATAGTGAGATTAGTGGACACTTATTTTACAGAAGATTTTTTAAAAGATAATGAATTGTTGACGGCATCTTAAAATATTAATTTTTTTATTTATTTCAAAACAAGTATAGGGTGACGCCTATGGTTTTTTAACCTGTTGAGGATTTGCATACATAATGTGCTATCAATATGATGGAAAAGGACTATAGTGTGTTATTAGTGTTTCAAATCCTCATTACATCTATTGCTCACACAGATGACAGAGAATACAATCTTACAAAACGTACGTTTATTAGTCCAAAAATAAATGTGTCTAATTAATTTTTTTCTGCTTCAGTCAATGAGTGGCAAAAAAATTAATTTATTTTTTCATGTACATACCCACTGTATGCTGAATAAAATTATGTTATATTATGTTATTTCCAGCTGAAACTCTAGGTATGGAAGGTAATACTTCATTAGAAAGAAGATCGTCGATGTTCTTTTCTCCAGCTGTTTTGGACCAAGTAGATAACGCTAAGGATGATTCAACAAGAACCCCTTCACCTGAAAAAAAACCACCGATGCCGAAACCTACCATCAATGTTACTAGACATAGGCACCAGTCTGAAACCCAGTATGCTGATACAGAGGTAAATATGAAGCTAACTGGTATCTTGATCCTGAATTTTCTAATATGTTTAATATGACAAAGATACTGTGATATCTTTGATATTTTCCGTTCCCCTCCATTTTCCTAGCTTCCCACATTTTTGCACATTCTAACAGTAAAGCAATAGTAATATTCACAATGTAGTTAATCTACCTTGTATGAGATCTAATATTCATATACAATAATATGTGAGTTCCCTCTAGATTATCTCCTGAATATCTCTTCTATTTTATTTACTTACACCTCTTAGCCAACTTTATGTGAAATTCAATTTTCATATCATTTTCATTTAATAAATTGTTTGACTGGATCGCTTTTATCTATTCTTTGTACAGCATAGCATGGTTTGGGCATGCTGTAATTTTTTTATCTTTTAATTTAAAATCTTTGAGGGCCGATTGTTCGAACGCTAATCAAAACTTGATTGTAATCAAATATTTAATTACAATCAAATACGTCACAGCAGCTGTCAAAATTATTAAAAATTGCTTATTAATATTATTGATTTGTAAATAAAAACATGAAATTAACATCAGAAAGAGTTTAATTATGGTTTATTTTAAATTAAAATGCAAAATAATAAAATTGAATAAAATAAATCAGTCAACATAACCTCAAAATGTGACGTATTTGATTTTAATTAAATATTTGATTACAATCAAGTTTTGATTAGCGTTCGAACAATCGGTCCTTAATGTATTATTAAAATGTTCTAGCGCGTAGTTTATTAAGTCTTTAATTACACTTATTTTAATTTATTTATAACATCACTATTTAAAAATAATTTATATAATACAATTTATATTTCCGACAATTTATATTTAAAACCTTAGAAAAAAATCGATTTATTATTCCGACTGGACTAAAATCTGAATTGTTCTGTATTTTTGTATATTTCATAAAACAATCCTGCTTCTCCACTTCACCAGAAATTTCTGTAGGCAGAAAGAATGTACTGGAACATACCAATACATACATCTTCTACAATAGGTAGTTGTCACTGTGCCACAGGTCTGTGCCCATAGTCATTTCTCACTTCAATACAAAAATTAAAAAAAAAAAATCACATATTTTTCATTACAAAACACAGGAAAACCCTAGAAAAACCATATTGCTACAAATCTATTTTACAAAATAAAATAATGGAAATAAAACAGAAATGGTAGAGCTGGTAAGGATATTTAAGAAGAATGAAACCTGAAAGATTTTCATAACAGGTCTTGGAAATAAAAAAATGATGAAAACAATGGCAATATCAAGTTGAAGAAAAGTCAGAAGAAGTCAAGAAACATAAGGTTGTAAGAAAAAACATAAGGTTGTAAGAGTTGTATTGTTTAGATGGTTTGAATTGATTCTTTAGATGTCTTCCCACGAGCAATAATTTTTCAAAATCTACGTTGGCCTACATATTTTTCGTTTCTTTTTTATCCTAAACTATATGATCAAACTAAAGTTTTTAAATTTCAGGTAGAAGAACTTTTTGCTATGCTTAGAGAATCAGATTCCCTGGATGAACAAGGTGATATATTGCAGTATTTAGTTGATACTAAAGGTTTGGACTACAACACTGGTATGTTGGAATATGGCCGGGTAGTTACAGTAAAAGATCTGTTAAAAGGATTGTACGAAAAAGCCTGCCACCAAAAAATGTGGGGTTTAGTACGACACACAGCTGGAATGTTGGGAAAGCGAGTCGAAGATTTGGCGAAGTCTGTTACTGATCTGTTAGTACGCCAAAAGCAGATTACTGTAGGTAAGTCTACTTAACCCTTAAGTTCCTGAATTTTAATTTGTTTAAAAAGTTTTATTATTTTGATTTCGATGTATATGGGAGAAGGTTTTAAAACAAAATTCATACACTTCTTTTTTTAATTATTTTTGATATCGTAGAAAATTGCCGTTACATATATTATGTAACTCTAGGAAGATATAGGAGCAAAAATATTTAAAATATTTCGTAATATAAATTTAAAAAATAACAAACAAATAATACAAAACTAGATGAAAAAATATAATCAAATTATTTTAGATGAAATTCTATGTGGCACTCGATGCATAATCGCACATTGCACTTGCAACACATGGTACGTACATGCGAACTGCAGTACTCACGTGTACAACGTCTCCTCTTTTTATCGGGAATATAGGTCAGAAGATGATCAATCTTGTCATTATGCTGGCTACTTTGGACGAATATGGCCCGCCTGCACCTTTTGGTTCGGTACCATATTTCGTAAGATACGATGTTACTAGATACCTTCAAAATTCTAGTTGTGGAATATGATCATGGGATCTGTTATAAAGGTACCAAGCATTTTAAATAGTTATGTCCAGCATCCATGTAAATAGACACCACCACCAATTTTTAGAGCGAATTCCTACTCGGAATCTAGCCACATTTTGGTCCATAAGGTCAGTTCCTCCCATAGACGAATTATATTTTCCAATCAAATGTAGACGTGGCACCTGAACATTTTTTTTCTCAGGCTGAGAAAACCGTTTCACATTATTTATGGGAGCGACTCACTCCATAGCAGGTTGAAGCAACTGTATTGCAACAATATTGCTGTCAAGCCAACGAACGAAAATGATTCCATTTTGGCGATCTAATATAGATCGCTACCGAAAGCGAGTAGTGCATACCAATTTATCAAACATTTAAGACAGGGATACAAACCGACGACTAGCCTCTGCAAAAATAAGAAAAGTGAAATCATTAGCGATATGGACAGAATTAAGAGAACCTGGATGACATATTTTAAGGAATTACTAAACAAAGGGACACAACCACCATTACAACAACAGAGGCAGCAGGAGGTACAACAACAAGAACTGTGGGAAGATGGAGAAGAAAATGAATTAACTACACCCCCAACGCTAGAGGAGATCCAAACGGCAATCCACATACAAAAAAAGCCATAAAGCACCGGGAATAGATAAAATACCGTCAGAAGTACTGAAGCAAGGAGGAAGGAATTGGATACAACAGATGTACCAGCTAATACGAGAGATATGGATAGAAGAAGAAATCCCCCAACAATGGAAGAAAAGTATAATCTGCCCTATTCATGAAAAATTGGACAAACTGTTGTGTTAGAATTATAGAGGCATCTCTTTACTTTGTTTGGGATACAAAATACTCACAAACATCGAAGACTTCACCCTCTCACGGAAAAAATCATTGGGGAATATCAAGCAGGGTTTAGGCAAAATAGATCTGCCATTGACCAACTATTTACAGTTAAAACAAATACTAGCCAAAACATGGGAATATGACATGGACGTTTACAATCTCTTTGTAGATTTTAAACAAGCTTATGATTCAATAGATAGAACAATTCTACCTAATATATTGGAAGTATTTGGCATACCATCAAAATTAATACGACTAGTGTAAATGACAATGACAGAAATAGAAGCAAGGTATGTATTCAAGGACAGATTACTGATGCGTTTACGATAACGCAAGGACTGAAACAAGGCGACGGACTGGCTCCAACGCTCTTTAATCTTGTTCTTGAATATGTAATTAGACGGTTGACGGTGAGCGGAAATAATATACTTACAAACAAATCTACCCAATTAGCCGCATACACAGATGATATAAACAGAATGAGCAGATTGAGAACAATGAACGCAGCGGAAGAAACCTACGTTGAGTTGAAACAGAGTGCAGAAGCAATAGGGCTAGCAAGAAGTACAAATAAGACAAAAATACTCAAACAAACCAGATCAAATAGACCGGCGCAACAACACTTTATTGACGATGTAGAACATGTGAATAGTTTTACATACCTAGGAATGGATCTGGTCGCAAGCAATGAAGAAGGACCGAAAATAAATAGAAGGCTTGTGCTGGCAAATAAAGCCTATTTCGCGATGGGCCACATATTCAAATCGTGAGACGTACAACGGAAAACAAAACTCCGGGTCTGTAAAACAATAATCAAGCCCATAGTAAGTTATGGTTGTGAAACATGGGTGGTGACACAGAAATCTGCCAATGCCTTAGATATGTTTGAAAGAAAAATATTACTTAGGATACTGGGCCCAATAAGTGGAAACAACAACTGGCGAATTAGGTATAATAGAGAAATATACGAGCAGTATAGCGAACCACCTCTAGCACAATACACTAAACTGCAGAGATATAGAACTGCAGAGAATAGAATCCCCAGAAAATTACTAAATGCAAGAATGCAGGGGAAAATACCTGTTAGAAGACCTAAAAAGAGATGAGAAGACGAAGTCGATGAGGATGCCAAGAACTGCCTGGGAACGCGTTCATGGAAAAGAACAGCGGTAAATCGAAATTATTGGAGAAGCTTGTTGAAGGAGGCCAGGCCCGATTTGGGCTGTAATGCCATTGAATGGAGGGAATATAGAGAAAAACTCGCCTCTTGAATTTTCCAGTACATCACATACCTTGATCTCTCATATTGGAAAGTAACAATGGACTTGTAAATAAGTTGTCGGTTTACAATTTATAGGAAAGATTTTTTTTTACCCTCGGGGAGCTTCCTCAACATTGACACTAACGGAGCAGTCGCCTTTCCATACAACACTTCATCATTGACCGTACTATTGTGATTTTGTACTCAAAAAGTATGGATTATCCTCTTATAAACTGTCTACAACTGGCCTACCAACATATTTTACTATACTCTCATCATAATTGATTTCTGATTCGGGCACAAAATATAAAAATTTATTTTTTAGTATATTCATCAAAGGGCGGATTTTCAGGCTTTGTCGTTTTCATCTGGTTTACTGTTGTCAGCAAAATGCAAAAACTTCATCACTTGTTCGAAACTATTTCTTCTCATTGAATTTTTCACGAAATCATTGCCCATGTCACGTTTGAGTCCCAGTAGTGCTTTCTAGCTAACTTGTGGTTGTCTTCTTCTTACGGTGCCTTATCCTTAAGGCACCGTAATGGCCATTACATTTGCCCATTTAATCTTATTTGTAGCAGCCCTGAATAGTTCTATGGAGGTCATGTTCGTCCATTGCCGTGGGTTTTTAAGCCCACGGCAAGAGTTTTTTAAGTTTTTTAAGAGTTGCGTCTTCTTCCTGGTCCTCCTTTGCTATTGACTTTGCCTTCGATTATAAGTTGGAGCAGTTCATACTTTTGATTTCTTGTAGTTGTATCCACTCAAAATTAGAATAGCAAGAGCACACTTTACCTATTCCCTAGTGATATATAGATCTTTGGCGTTTTTAAAAAGGGCATACTTTCTAGTCTCATCTGTAATATGGGAAATTATATTTTCATCCCAGAAGTTTTCAAAAATTTCAACTGGGGAAAGGTTTGAGAAATATGAAAAATTAGCGGAAGGAAAACTGCGTTTCTGGAGACAAATGGACGAGGAAATGGAGAGCCTGGAGGTGGGGGAAAATGTAGAGGAACTGTGGACAAAATGTAAAAACATAATAACTGAGAAAGCGACAAAAATATTGGGGAAAACCAAATCAGTTAAAGAAAACGAATGGTTTGACAAGGAGTGCCAAGAAGCAACAGATAACAAAAACAGGGCATACCTAAAGACAAATCAAGCTGGATGCACAAGAAGAGCAAAGGAAGAATACTGGACACTAAGAAGAGAAGAAAAACGATTACATAGAAGAAAAAAAAGACAATTTGAGCAAAAGCAGTTGGAAAGCACAGAATGGCTAAGAAATCAAAATGAAACTCGAAAGTTCTACAGAAATCTAAACAAAATGCGCAAAGAGTTTAAGCCAAGAATAAGGAGCTGTAAGGATGTAGAAGGAAACATTCTAAATGATACGGCCTCAATCCTAAACAGATGGGTTGAATTTTTCGATGCAAAATTTAATGGCCATCATATCGAAGAAGCAGATAACACCCTAGCAAATCGAAATGATTGGAATCCTTTCAACCCAAACGAAAGACCACCTACCATCGAAAACGTTGCATAAGCCATTAAAAAGCTTAAAAATAATAAATCACCAGGAGTTGATGAAATTTGCAGTGAGCTCTACAAGAATGGTGGCGATGCCCTACCACCGACACTGCATAAGCTTTTACTTCTTGTTTGGCATAATGAGATCATGCCTTGTGAATGGTCTCAAGGCGTGAGATGCCCGTTACATAAAAAAGGTGACCAGCTCCAGTGTGACAACTATAGAGGTATAACCCTGTTAACAACTGCTTACAAAATACTAGCAAATATTCTCTACGAAAAGTTGCAAGTTTACACAGTGGGCATAGTTGGTAAATATCAAGTTGGATTCACTCCAGAAAAATCAACAATTGACCAGATTCATTCAATAAGACAGATTCTCGAAAAAACATTAGAATTCAATATTGAAACCCATCACCTATTCGTCGACTTCAAGGCCGCATACGACAGTGTCAAGAGAACAGTGCTATACCAATCAATGCATGAGTTTGGTATACCAGAGAAACTTATCCGACTAACGAGAATGACAATGTCTAACTTAGAAGCCACTGTTAGAATACAGGGAGAGAGTTCTAGATCCTTTGAGATAAAGGATGGACTCAGACAAGGAGATGCTCTGGCTTGCCTCCTATTTAATATTGCCTTAGAAAAGGCAGTCCGAGATACACGAATTACGGATAGCGGTACTATTTACAATAGATCGATACAAGTCTTAGCATATGCTGATGACATTGACATAGTAAGGCGTAGCAAGCGAGATGTTGAGCAATATCTCCTAGAATTGGAAACAGCGGCGAAACAGGTCGGTCTAGTCATCAACGAAGACAAA